TGTTAATTTGAGAACTCCATCTTTGATAAAGTTGAGCTGTGTGGCCCAGTCCCCACATAGACTAATGGAGAGCAGGAACCAGAAATGAGGGCTGCTGTCCTCACCAAACAGGGCGACTCAGGGGCTTGAAGATTAGCAGGGTTTGGACAGAGGAGGCTGGGGGGGTCCCATGTAGGAGGTGACTACTGTCCAGGAGATGCGAGGACCCACCTGGGGAGTCAGGGTGACTGTGGAGGCCAAAGTTGAAGGGGACGGAGACAGAGACCTGCAGAAGCAGCATCCTGGGGAGAGAAGGAGGCCATGGAGAAGTCGGAACAGCTCAGGACATGCCTCTTGCAAAGCCCACGGGAAAGCAGGGAAGTGACTCATGGGAGGCCACGGAGTCCCCAAAGGTCCCTCTTCTCAGAGGTGACCCCAGTGCCCACACTGCTCATTGTTCACCCAATGCCTTTCCTCCCTCTCTGCCTGTAACCGAGCCCCCCCTCCAGCTAAACACAAGTCTCCCTGGAATAAAGCTGGTGTCACCGGGCAGCTACCATGTGACTAAGTCACGTCCAATGAGATGTAAGTGGAAGAGACACCCTGTAGGCCCTGTACCCAAGGTTTCCCTTTCTACAGCTTCAGCTGTGAGTGGTTAACCATGGTCCGAAAATAGTAAATGGAAAATTCCAGAAATTAACCATTGACGTTTTAAGCTGGGTGCCATTCTGAGGAGCATGGTGAATCCGGTCCTGCTCCACCCCGCCTAGCATGTCCACATTGCACAAGCTGCCGTCTGTTGGTAACTAAGTTGCTGTCTTGGTTCTCAGATGAACTATCATAGAGTCACGGGCTTGTGTTCCAAGAGTCCTTCCTTAGTTTACTTCAGAAAGTGCAAGAGCAGTGAGGCTGGCCACTTTGTTACTGTATGGTACATTATAATAATCCTCCTGTTTTATTATGAGCTACTGTTGTTTCTCTCTCCTTGTGTGTTGGGGAAACAACCCAAGTGTCCTGTTCTCCTCTGCTGTCAGACCACTAAAGTCAACACAGATGTTTGACACCAGATTTGGGGGAGGGGGTTACCTCATTGGCAAGTGACCCATGCTTCAGCAGTGGACATCTGCCGCAGTCTGGCTAGGCACAAGCCACTCTCACCTTGTAGATTCAAACAGCAACTCTTTTATTCTCGAACTGTCACCGGCCCTCTACACGCACATGTTCTGGGGAAATCCACACCTCCACTGGGCTCTGTATCCCAAAATACTCTCTGAATCCCGCAAGAACTCAACGGGAACTCAAGGAGCGGGCACACCTGAGGCAGCAGGATACGCCCTATTCCCAGCAGAGTACACCTTAAACCTGGAACCGCCCTAAACCCAAGGAGCCCCCTAAACCCTGATCCGCCCTGGTCCTTGAGCAAGGTCACCTTACATGCAATGTTACTGCAAATGACCTGGGTCATGCCATGCGTCATTCCTACTTGGCAATGGCTCTCAGCAGACATCAGCTGGGGGTCCTCTAATCCAATTCAGCTTTGACTCTCTTTGAAGGCAGGAACTGGGACCAAAAAACAAAATATGTAGCACTTGTCTGTGTTTTTGTTTAACTTGTGGACAATGATTTATAGACAGGTGCAAAAAAAAAAAAAAAAAGAGAGAGATCCTCTTTTTTTTTGGTATTGGAGATTGAACTGGGGAGGGGGAGACACTCGACCACTGAGTCACATCCCCAGCCATATTTTGTATTTTATTTAGAGACAGGTTCTTACTGAGTTGCTTAGTGCCTCGCCATTGCCGAGGCTGGCTTTGAACTTGCGATCCTCCCTCCTCAGCCTCCTGAGCCACTGGGATTACAGGAGTACGCCACAGCACCCAGCTAAAAATCCTCTTTTGCAACCTGCAAATCACCGTTCAGAGGAGCTTTGATACATGTAGGCAGGAATATCATACCTAAGTCAGCTTAAAGTGATGGTTTTAAGTCTAATGAGTTGATAATCAAAAAGCAAAGGTCATGGGCTGGGGATGTGGCTCAAGGGGTAGCGCGCTCGCCTGGCATGCATGTGGCCCGGGTTCAATCCTCAGCACCACATACAAACAAAGATGTTGTGTCTGCCGAGAACTAAAAAATAAATGAATAAATATTTAAAAAAAAATAAAAATTAAAAATTCTCTCACTCTCTCTTAAAAAAAAAAAAAGTCATGAGAGAAATCTCAACTGTACTGATTGAATATTCCAATTTTCAGCTAAAGGCCCTCCCCAGATATAGCCCCTTGACCTTGGATTCCCCAAATTCCAGAACTGTAAGAAATAAACTTCCATTTCTTATAAATCACCCAGCCTCAGCCATCCTGTTGCAGCAGCAGCAGCCAAGTTGACGGCACATACTGATGGAGGTTTCAGGTTATTTTGTTCACTTGTTTACTTTCTTATTTTTGGTACTAGAGATCTAACCCAGGGCACTCTACCATTGAGCTCTACCCTAGTCCTTTTTTTTTAAACTTTGAGACAGAGTCTCACTGAGTTGCTTAGGGCCTTGCTAAATTGCTGAGACTAGCCTCAGACTTGTGATCCTCCTGCCTCAGCCTCCCCTGTCACTGGAATTTCAGGCATGTGGCACCTTGCCTGGCTGGTTTTTTCTTTTTGTTGTTGTTTTAAAGTTGGCCCTTTGGCCATCAAAAGTTGGGGAAGGCCACACCCACCCCTCCTCTCTGCGCCAGGCCGTTCTGTCCTGAAGATAGAACTCTGCAGGATCCTCCTTTTTTTTTTTTTTAAAGAGAGAATTTTTTAATATTTATTTTTTAGTTTCCAGCGGACACAACATCTTTGTTGGTATGTGGTGCTGAGGATCGAACCCGGGCCACATGCATGCCAGGCGAGCGCGCTACGGCCTGAACCACATCCCCCGCCCACTGCAGGATCCTCTTGCCAGGTGCTGTTTAATCTCAGGCCCTCAAGGGCCCAATCTCCAGAACTGAAGACGTCCCCACCAGTCACCCCGCATCCCAGGAAGCTAAGTGACAACATTTAGCAGCCAATGCTACCCAGTCCCCACCACATAGTCCCTAGGGGCCACCCAGTGGCAAGACTCTAGAGAGAACCTTCCCCTGAGGCCTTGCTGGGCCCCAACCAGCTCAGATAAAAAGCCCAAGAGTGGAGGAAACAGAGGTGGCTAGAGTGACAGAAATGGAGATTGGGCTTCCCCTGGTGGCAGGAGCCGCCAGATGCCATGAAGCCTCAGAAGAGGAAAAGGGTGCCCGGCTGAGGGTGGGCTCTCTCACCACCCCACCTAGTGCTGCAGACACCCAGGCTCGCAGGAGGCCCTAAGCCTCAGTTCCCTCTTTTTCACCAAAAAAGATTAAGGGACATGGCGTCAGAGACCCTGGTGGCGCACGCGTGTACCCCCAGCGCCTCGGAGGCTGAGGCAGGAAGAACTCAAGTTTAAGGCTGGCTGTGGCACCTCAGCAAGATTCTGTCTCAAAATAAAAAATAAAAAGGGTTGGGGATATGGCTTGGTGGCAAAGTGACTCTGGGTTCAGGCCCCAGCACCTAAGGGCCAAGGAAAATATTGAAGCGCCTGCCATGACCTTCACACGTCCTTGGTAACGCCTTCTCCTGGTTTGGCTCACTGGGGAGAGCTCAGCCATTCACTATCTGGGGCTGCCACTCCCTCCCTTCAGGCATCGGCCAGTCTTGGGGTGAGGGGTCCCGAGGTCATGCAGGGTGTTAGAAGGGAGCCAGCTTTGTCCCAACCTGTGTTTCAGGAAGCCCACTGGGACTGACTTCGGAGTCTCACCCAGGGAGGACACGGCCCTGGCTAAGGTGTCCCTGAATCCCCCAGGTACTGGGGCCCAGAATTTGACAAGAGGAAGGCAAGAGGTGGAGAGTTTGGGGCAAGAACCACAGGGACCAAGGAGGGCCTGCGGGGCGCTCAGGAGGCTGAGCACTGGGGCCCACATAAGGTGGCTGGTGTCCTCTGAGAGCCCCACCCACAGACCCCACCACTGCCACCAGCCCTTCCTACACACAGGAGTCCTCCTCCCTGTGTCACGTAGACTGTGGAGCCTTCCCTTCAACGCCCTGCTGGTGCCACCCCCACCCCCAGGGCTATTCACAAACTTCCAATGCCCGAGGTGCCCACAGGGCAGGGACAGGCTGCTACCAGCTTCCCAGATCCCAAGGCCAGCCTCTCCCAGCAACCCCACCCACTTTGCTGCTGGGTGGGATCTACACAGCCCAGAGCTGTCCCACCCTCCACTCTATCCCAGGCTCTTCTCTGCCATTTCTGCCACCACAAGAGTCATTTCCTCCAAGAGGTCCTTCCCTGACCCTCTCCCTGGCCTCCCCGACTATGGCCTGCTCTAGAGCCATGGACGAGGCAGAGCTCACTGCAGGCGAAAGAGCACATGGCCAGCCTGCTCAAATCCAGACTCCCCTAAGAGGCTCAGGGCAAAGTTCAGACCCCAAGGCAGGGCCCACAATGGCCCCTGGCTCTTGCCCACCCACCCCTGGTCAGGCTCCACCTACAGCCTCCTCGCCCAGGGAGCCCTCCTGGCTGACAGCGGTGTGCACTGAAGGGGCCCTCCCTGGTCCTGGTGCTTGAGAAGGGGCTGAAGTCACTCTGATGTGGAAGCCTAGAGCCAAGGTTCCAACACTGGGGTTTCTGGAATAAATTAAATTGACTAACACCCAGCACACGCAGGTTGGTCAGGGTATGCGCCAAGCTCGCACCTGGTGGGGACTTTCACTCAGTGCCTCTCCCGCCCTAGACACTGGCTCCTTCTCAGCTTCCAGGAGGAAAGTTCAGGGGGCATTCCCAGGGGCTGGCATGGAGCTCAGAGGTACGGCATTTGCCAAGCATGTGGAAGGCCCTGGATTCCACCCCAGAACTCAGCAAATAAAATTAGAAAACAAGCAAATAAAGAGGCCTTCAGCCCTGTCCTCACAGCCTCAGCTCAACTATGACTAAGGAACGAGCCCCACCCGCAGCAAACCAGTGTCTGCACACCAAGGAGACACACTTGAGCCAGGAGGGTTTAATGGCGGAAATCTGGCCAAGGTTCCAGCAGGGTGGCCCCAGCTGGGGTAGAGCTGGGCAGGTGAGCCAGGAGAGGGCAGAGGGAGTGTGTCCAGGCTAGGGCCTCAAAGCTGCGAGAGGATGTTGGGGGCCAAGCTGCAGGTCAGGCCTGTGCCATCGGGTTCCACATTAAGGGCCTTCACTCTGCCATCGTCTATCACCATGGAGAACCTGAGGGAAAGAGGGGCCAAGCAGCTGCGTCAGCCCAGGCCTGGAGACCCGAGGGAACAAGGAGCCAGGGCTCCAGGGAAGGGCTCTGCAGAACTCTCCCCCTTTTACCTCTTGAGCCGGCGATTCCCAAAAAGGCGCACCAATGAATCATCTAGTAATAAATCTGCCTCCTAAGAGGAAAGACGAGAAATGCATCAGGAACCCCCAGAACAGGCCAAGGGCTGCTCCCCACACCTCAGGTTCTGCCTTCTAGGCGCCCCACAGGAACTTCCCCGGAGCAGGAGGGCAGACTCACCTTCCCAAAGGCCCCAGTCGGGTCAGCCAGGAGCCGAACCTGAAGGGACAGGAGAGTAAAGGTCACAAGAAAAACCTCCTAGGGCCTGGCCCATACCCCTGCCAGCTCCACATCTTACCTTGCCTTCTGCATTGTGGGCTCGTCCCCACTCTCCAGTCACAAACACATCGTTCACAGTTAGACATGCCACCACCTGCACCCCCTTGGCCTTTAGAGCCCCAGACTGCTCCACAAACCCTGGCAGGTGGGTCTAGGAGGGGAAACAAGAGTCAGCCAAGGGATCACACTGTGGGGCCTCAGCCCACCCTCACCTCCAGGCTTCGCCCCTCCCTGATCCAGTGTCTTGGATCAGGCAAGGACAGCCGCGTGAACAACTCTTTTTGACTTCACCACTCGGAAGCTCAGACTTAAATGTTCTGTGGTCAAGACCTTGAACTTCCCATGGGCAGGATTACTTGCCTGAGTCCCAAATATCTTGTGCAGTGCCTGGCACGCAGCAGGCGTGGTAAGAGGTGTTGGATTAAGTGCAGCCCCTTCCTCCTACCTCTGAAGGCTAGTACTTTCCGGACACTGAAAAGCCTTTTTAGTTGTGGCATCATTTACAGACTCTTGTAGCAAAATGCCCTGGGGCAACACACAAAACTTCAGAACCATTCAAAAGATCCCACTCCCAGACCCCAGGAAGGGGAGGGTCTCACCTTAGAACAGCCAGGGGTAAATGCCCCAGGGACTCCGAAAAGTACACCCTTCTTGCCCTTGAACAGCTCGGCCAGGTTCACCTTGTTCCCAGGCTCCCCTTCAAACACCTCCACGGAGGGGAGAGCATCTCCCACCTGGATAAAAGGACTTTGAGGTCAAAGGGGAGGGGGGGTGGTGCAGCAAACCAGAACCAAAGGGAATGCAGAGCGCGATTGCTGCTGGCAATCAGCTAGTTCAGAAAACCAGGAGGCACTCCCGATCCCCTCCCCCATACCACCTAGTTACCCAACATCCTCCTGCTTTCCAGGTGGCCCTGCTCTGCTTATGGGCCTTTGGTGACAACAAAGGAAAGAAAGTTCTTTCCAAATGTTGCAATATTGTGAAAATGAGCAGCTGGAATACAGTGGGGGAGGGGGCAGAGAGGTGCACTTGAGGATGAGGAGGAAGTCCTGATAAGCGGGAGGGAGAAGGCCTGGTCACTCAGACGAAGAGGGGTGGAAGAGTTAGGGAAGATATCCAGGCCCCCCCACACGCCCATGGGGATAAAGAAGAGGAAGGGTGGGGTTCTCCACGTGGGGGTGGGTGAGGGATTCCAGGAGCCGGAGGAGGCAAAGGCAAGATTCAGAAGTTGGGGAGTCTGAGGACCCCGGAGGTTGGAGTAGGATGAAGTAGGATGGAGAGGGTCTCAGCAGAGGTCAGACAGAGGGGATAGGTCAGAGGAGCTGGGTTGGTTCCAGAAGATGAGTGAAAGACAGTGAAGGGTAGGAATCAGCCATGGAGAGGGGGAGGGGGAATCGAGGAGACGTGGCTGGGCTCCGAGGGACCAGTTATATCAGAAGATGGGGTGAAGGGTGCCCAGCACTCTCATAAGTGTGGGGCAGGGGAAGTGAAAGACACTTAGAAGCTGAAAAGGGGCCCAGCCGCGAAGATGGAAGAATGTGAGATGCCATGGTATTCAATCCCCTGAAAACGACCGGGACCTGTCACTGGGTGTCGCACGGTGGCTGTGGAGGATTACAAGGGGAGGGCTCGAGGGCCTCGGGGAATGTCTCAGGGGATTAGGGTCGAGGCCCCTAACTGAGGGAGAGCCGAGGGGTCTTGCTGGGGGGATGAAAGGAATAGATCGCAGGAGGGTCCCCGAGGACGGCGGAGGAGGGGGGTACGAAGGGCAAGGGACACGGTCACCCCAGACAAGGGGGACGGGGAAAAGGGCCAACGGTCACCTTGATCGGGGCCATGGCTGCGGCGGTGCTGCTGAAACTGCGGACCCCTCCACGCGCCCAACCTCCTCCTTCCAGCCGCCGTCTTGCTGTAGCTGCCGCGGACTCTGCAACAGCCGCGCTGGTGACTACCAAGCAGGCTCGGCGTCGCAGCACGCCCAGGTTCGCCAGCCCCATGCCCGCCCTAAGACCCTACAGCCGCCCCGCCCACCTGCCCCAGACATCACACGAGGCGGGGCCTGGAGCCTGCGCCACCCCGGGGCCCTCCTGGAGGCGGTGCCTCAGGCGCCCCGCCCCGGCGGCCGCCCCTGCAGCGCAGGCATGGGCGCGGGCGCGAGGAAAGGAGCTCCAGGACTCTGGGCTCGCGTGCGTCAGGGGCTGGGCCACGACGCAGTGTAAGTGGGGCGGAGCTAATTTGCATGCAAGCAAGAGCTACTGCTGTTTTAATGGACCTGATTTACTGATGCAGTGTGTCCGTTCCTTACCCGAAAGCAAGGTGCAGGAAATGATAGTATCAGGGGCCTGTGGAGGCCTAAAACATGTTTATGTTACATTCCACGAGAGCCTCTGCGCTGCAGCTGCTTTCCATATGATTTGCATGTTACATATGATTTGTGGCTAGTGGAGTTTGCTGTGCGTCGCAGCAACTTCCCGGCGAGACGCTTCCGGCAGCAGCGCGTGACCGGACCAGATTTTTCAAGTACCTCTGCTCCTGCAAGCACGAAAAGTTTCCGCAAGTTCGTCACTTCCGCTCCTCGGGCCGTCCAATAGTACCAAAGACCCGGCGACCCCGGAATTTACGTGAGCTCCGAGTGGCCTCTTTCCGGTTCCGGAGCGGAGGATCCCTGGTGGAAACATGAAGCTGCTCACCCACAATCTACTGAGCTCACATGTGCGGGGGGTGGGGCCTCGTGGCTTCCCCCTGCGCCTCCAGGTACGAGCCTGGGGTCTCGCCCCTCTTCCGGCGGGATAGAGAAACTCGGGTTCGGCCCCGGCCTCATTAGACCTCCCCGCCCCGCAGGCCACCGAAGTCCGAATCAATCCCGTGGAGTTCAACCCAGACTTCGTGGCGCGGATGATACCCAAGGTGGAGTGGGCGGCGCTTCTGGAGGCGGCTGACACCGTGAGCACCTGTCCCCGTGGTCCCTGCTTCGGAAGGGGGGCGGCTTACCGCGACCCCCGGTACCCGCCCGAAGCCCTGCGTCTGGCCGGGCGTGGGGAGGGTTTCATGCCCAGGGATGATTAAGGTTTCTTGCCCGCAGTTGCACCTGGTGGAGGTGCCAAAAGAGCCTACTGAGGGCTACGTGAACGACGAGACATTTCTGAGAAAGATGCATCACGTGTTGCTGGAGGTAAGAAGCGACCCTCGCCTTCTGTTCCCGCCCCGCCCTTGAGGCTGCCAGTGCTGAGCCCTCTCCCACCCTTCCACAGGTGGACGTGCTGGAGGGCACCCTGCAATGCCCGGAGTCAGGACGTGTGTTCCCCATCAGCCGCGGGATCCCCAACATGCTGCTGAATGATGAGGAAACCGAGACTTAACCGTGTCCAGCACCAGTTTTACGTTTGTGACCGTGTGTATTTTTGTTAACATATTCTTTTTGTTAGTTCTACAGTGTGTAGTCCCAGCCCTTGACCCAATGATACACTGACCACAGTGGTTTTGAGCTCCATAGTATATCTTTTTTTTTTTTTCTCATTAAAGGTTCAAAACCAAAAGCGGTTTCTCTTTGCAGCAAATATACATTAAAATAGAGTCTCTGTACAGCCAAAGGCTCTGGGCCCTGGCTTGCCCCATGTCCCTGCGCCTCCCTGGCCAAACCCAAAAATAAATATAGTGTTATTGCTCTGCAGGGCATAGAGGCAGTGCTCTCCCCACCCCCTGAGGAGGCTGGGTGGGAGCTGATGGGGGGCCCTGGCCACCCCAGGGTCCAGGGGCTGGAGCCTGCTTGGAGTTATTGCTTCAAGGGGGGGCATTAATGCCCAATGCAAATGAGGAGGAGCGAAGGGGGTAGGGGCCTTTGCTCTCCAAATACCCCTCTAGTCTGGAGAGGGGATCGGATTAAGCAGCAGCAAAAGCATCACCCATTGGGAGACTGTGGCCTCCATCCCCTTCCCTCCCTGAGATCAGGCTTCTGCCTCCCACATCCCCTGCAGCCCCCTATGGCTTCCGCAAGGCCCCCTACACTCTTGGGGGCACATTATGGCTTGCAAGGGACAGCACTGTGCCCAGACTCTAGGCATTCACATTCCCAGCTTGACACCCCCTTAAGAGGGGGAGAGGAGGGCATGGGGCCTGCTCCCAGGGACTGATAGCATTGCCCTGGCCCTGCCAGCAGGCTGTGGCACTGCCCAGACCCCAGCTCTGCCCCCTTGGGGCTGACCCCATGCTGGGCAGTTCCTGCCAGCACCCCCACCCTTCCCACCCCATGCCTCAGTCCATCATGGCCTCGAGCATCTCCAAGAACAACTTGTGCATGGGCACCTTGCCCTCCAGCTTCACCCCATAGAAATGGGCCAGCACTTTGCCTGCTGTCTGGCGGAGGAGTGGTAGGGTGAGCAGCAGTCTGCCTGCCCGCCGCCTCTCAGCACCTCCTCCGGGGCCGGCCCGGCCGGCTTCATACTCCAGCAGGGCCTCATGCAGGGCTTCTCGCAGCTGTTCCACAGCCTCAGCATCCTCGATGTGCACTGAGTCTACAAGGAGGGGGAGAGGGCTATTGGCCTGGGCTGCCTCTGGAAAAGGCGGAACCCACATCTGCTGGGGCACTGCTGGATGGGCCTAAGGAGGGGCCAGATGGATTAGCTGATTGGCTGACTAAGGGGCACCACTCACTGCTCCTACCCAATAGCCACCCTTTCTCCCTCAACTATGGCCACCTTTTATCCTCCCCACCTTCCCTCCCACTAAACTGTTTACCTTTCCAGGTTAGCACGGCACTAGGGCTCAAAATCCTGTGTGCAGTTCAGGGCCTGCCCTTGGCTTGCTTTGTGACTTTGAATAAGTCATTGGTCTTCCCTAAGCCTCAGTTTTCCTTATCTGCAAAATGGGACTGTGCCACCATCATGGAGTTAACAGTTGGAGGGCCTCGTGGAGATTCCTGTTGGATGCCTGCTCTGGACTCACCCGAATTGGCAAGGGCCAAGGCCTTCAGCAGGACATACTCTTCTCGTTCCAGCCGCAGGGCCTGTAGCCGCCGCACCAGTTGCAGCAGGGCCGCCCCCAGCTCTCCCAGGCCAGCAGCCCGGGCTCCCTCTTCATCCAGGACCAAGTCCTCAGCAAAGGCCAGTTCATCCTGCAGTGGTAGTGAGCGCTGGGCCACACCCAGCACCAGCACCTCCATCCATACGCTCTGCAGTACTGACATCTGGTCAGACAGCGATAGTGATGAGAAGCCTGGGGGGCAGTGGAGAGCAGGCCCGGCTGAGCGAGTGATCCCAGCCAAACATGGCCTGGCCTCAAGGGAGTCCCAGGTCTCCTGGGCCCTTTACCTGGGATGCTCTTGGCCCAGCTGATAGTGACCACAATCTCTCGGTCAAAGAGGTCGCAGAGGGTAGCCACAGCTGGGAGGTGTCCGTCAGGGCCCGCTGGGTCAGGCATGGCATACAGCTTCTCAGGCTCTACCACCAGCAGGTGAGATACCAGTGCATTCACCGGGGCTGCAGTGACAGGTGGAGGGCTGTCAGGAGCACTCCCATCCAGCAGGCCTTAGAGGCCCCTTGAGATTGCATCTTCCTAGGTAGTCCCCCTGTGGCCTTCCTTGAGAGCCAGTAGCCAGAGGGAGATAGCTCTCCCCGGGAAGCATGCTCACCACCTCCCCAGGCGACTCGGTCTTGAATAGACTGAGATTAAACCTCTCCCTGGACCCAGCTACATTGCTTGGTTCTCGACACATGAAAAGTTACTTTACAAATATTCCTTGGGGAAATGAATAAGTGAGTGAAAGTGGAATCCGGGTCCAGTGTCCATAATGATGCTGACAGGCCCTTGGGGGCAACTTGCCCTGGAGCCCTAGGGCTCCACCATGCCCTCACCTGTCTTCCGGGGGCCTCCAGTCACTGCCAGAGGGCCAGCAGGGAAGGAGCCTGGGAAGGGCAGCGGGTCCACCTCTGGCCGTCGCTTGTATTTCTGTCGCCCACCTCGGACACGGTCCAGGCGCACCCCTTGAATTGTAGGACAGGGTTGCGGTGATGGGGCTGAGGCAGGTTTGCCCTGCAGAGCTGTCCTCCCCAGCCCATTCACTCGAACTTCCCAGGCCTTGCCCCCAGCCCCAATCCCCAGCCCAGGCCCCTGCCCAACGCTCACCCTCCTTGAGCATGCCCACCCGCAGGCACTTGGTGAAGCGGCAGGCCTGGCAGGCCTTGCGTCTCCGCTTGGTGATCTCACACTCGTTGGAAGCTGGACAGCTGTATTCGATGCTTCCTGCCAGGAAGAGGCAGGGCTCCAGTGGCGGCCTCCCAGGGCCAGGAGTGGGCCCAGCGGCCAGGAGAGCCCTCACTCACCCGGGGCAAGCACAGGTCTGGGGGTACGGGGAGGAAAGGGGAGAGCAGGAGGCCATGAGCAGGGCAGGGAACTGCCACTGAGTGGGGTCCCTGCTTGGGCAATGGAGGGGCCGGGCACAGGCAATCAGGCTGCCACTCTGACCCAAGCCCCTGGTCAGGTCACACCTCTGGGCCACACTGCCTTCATCTGGGCCCATCAAGGGCCACTATGACCTTTAGGGTGCTCAATTCATTGGTCAGTTCTCAATCCTCATCTTACTTGCCTAAGAGGAGCATCTAATAGCACGACTGGGTCTCAGTGCTAGAAACTCTCAAACACTCTGCTTTTGCTTCTAGGACTCCACCGGCTCCTCTGCCTCCCACCTCTCTGGCCGCTTTGTGGTTTCTGTGAATCTCCCAGAGCTCCTTCCACTGAACAGCCCAGGGCTGGCCTTCCTCAGCCTCACTTACCACCCACTCCCGTCTTGGGGCTTACACCTGCCCTGAGCTCTAGACTCATATCCAGCGGCCCCCTGACATCCTGCACGTCTAGGAGGCTTCTCAACCCTAACATGGCCCCCGGACTCCCAAGCCTGCAACTGCATTCCTCTGGTTGCTCAGGCAGAAGGCTGGGCAGCACACTCAACTCCCTTGCACCCACGTCCAACCTACTGGCAAATTCTGCGGGGGTCCTGACCTTACCCATCCAGAATCAAACTCCTGCCCTCAGCTACTGTTTTTCCACCCTTGACACCAGTCACCGTCCCCTCATCTCACTGGCCTCCTGCTCGATGCCTAAGGGATCCTGTTAGACCTGTGTCAGCTCCTGTCCCTCCTCTGCTCAAACCCAATGACTTCCTTGAGTGAAAGCCCAAGTGAACCTGTGGCCTTCACAGGGATTGCCTCAAGCTCTGGTCCTAATGGCACACAGCCTCCCCTACCTCCTCCCTGTCACCTCAGGAAGGCCTTCCCTGGCCACTGGTGACAATACCAAATCCACCTCTGCAGGCACTTCCAGCCTGAGCCCTGCTGTAAAGATTCCTCTCAGCTCTTGGGGCCACCTCAGATGCTACAGAGCAAACTATTTACGTATTACCTCTCTCTCACTTCAGTGTCAGTTCCACTAGGGCCTCGAATGTCCCCAGTGCTGACACTGAAGATGCTGACAGCTTGTCGCTCTCCCAGTCTCGCAGGGCCACCACTAACCAGCCAATAGGCCATTAGTACGTTAGCTCTGCTAGGGCTTCACCTGGCTCAGGACCTGTCCTCAGGGAGGCCCTCTGGAGCCCCAGACTCAGACCAGGCCTCCGTCCACATCCTGTTCCTGGCCTTCCAACACGTGCCCCAGTGTAACAGGGCAGTTCTGGGCAATTTATTGTTTCAATTCATTGTTTCTGCCTCAGTCCCAGGACTGGAACACTGGTTTGTGAAGAGCAAAGTGTTCTGGGGGCTACCTTGGTCTAGCCCAACACTACCCCTTACCAACTGTGTGACCTCAGGCAAGTCCCAGATCTAACACCTGGAACTCTCAATTCAAATTGCCAGCCATCAAATTGGCATGAAAAAAACCTCATACTTGGGGTTGGGGGCTGTAGCTCAGTACTAAGTGCACATGCTTAGCATATACGAGACCCTGGGTTCCATCCCCAGCACCAAATGAAAAAAAATCATACTTGTTGTAAAGGCAGGTTGTAAGAATTAAAGAAGATAATCCATGTAAAATATTTAGCATAATTCACAGCACTTAAGTGCTCAGTAAGTGACTATAATCGATAGCTAACAATAAATCTGTGTCCACAGTCAGGATGAAAGATTCCAAGGTGACACCTAGACCTAGGTCTGCAGCCTCACTGGTCCTCAGAGTCAGCAGGGAGCCCGGAGTTTTATGGCCAACATGTTTTAGCCATGTTCAGACTCACTGGCTGTCACAATCAGTGGTCCAAAGTCCAGTTATTACTATTAAGTAGAACAGCAGTCTGGCATTTGAGAGCCAGCTCAGGACCCACATCAAATCCTAGTTCTGCCATTTTCTACTTGTAAGACTTGAACAAAGCTTCAAAAATCTCTGTAGGGTTGGGCTGGGGCTAGGGCTCAGTGGCAGAGCCCTTGCCTAGCACAATGTGAGGCACCGGATTCGATTCTCAGCACCCCGTAAAAATTAATGAAGGTCTGTGTCCAACTAAAAACATTAAAAAAAAAAAAATCTCTGTAGGCCTCAACAATGACAACACTGACACCTC